GCTTAAGAGTGTGACCCCCCTGTAATTCGAGCACACCCTCCGGTCCCCCTTTTTAAACAGGATACCACCACCCCAGTCTGCCAATCCAGGGGTACTGCCCCCCCAGTCTGCCAATCCAGGGGGGACTACCCCCGATGTCCATGCGATATTGCAGAGTCGCGTAAGCCAACACAACCCTACAACATCCAGAGCCTTGAGGAACTCCGGGCGGATCTCATCCACCCCCGGGGCCCTGCCACCGAGGAGGTTTTTGACCACCTCAGTGACCTCGTCCCCAGAGATTGGAGAGCCCAACCCAAAGTCCCCAGGCTCAGCTTCCTCAACAGAAAAATGTAATGTAAAACTGTCATGATGTGTATTTCATTTTACCCTCAGGACCTAAAATTGCAGAAACAGAAGCACTCACAAGGAAATCTTGGTAAAAAGGTTTTATTTTGAAAATCATAGGAAGTACTGTGAGATAGCCTACTTGCAAAAGGCACAAGACAATAACAACTCTGTGATCATCAGCAATTCTGGAAATTTATTAAATCAACAACTACCGGTAACCAAATATTTGAGGTCCTCCACCATGATGTGTTGGGCTATGGCACAGCATGAGGGCTGCGCCATATTGGGCAAGTGGTGGAGGTGTGGCCAGAGGGCACAATGGACTGAAAACAACAGGTTTTATCAAAGACACACAAAAGGTAGGCTGAACATTCATGTAAAATGGAAGCTTCAAGAGAGGATGGTTTTATAATTGTGAACTCCAGTGTGCTGGGTTAGAGGAAGATACACCAGTTCAAGAGTGTCCAAGAGTGTTAGAATGAAAACCAGTGTACAGACTGACAATGACCCCAAGGTATTACAGAAAGACTCCCATTACCTGGAAAATGAGTTGTGAACCACATTCTGAGAGGATGCTACATAATATGAAGACATGGTTAACCAGGATTTGGGAAGGGAGCTTGGTGAGATGTATGTAGTGTACTGCTTTGGAGAATTTATTATGGTCAAAATGACTTTTTCCGTCTGAGGTAGGCAGACTCAAAGCTGAGGAGCATGTGGATGTGCTGAGGTTGGGTTCAGTGTTTTAGGCTTGTTTAACAATGTCTTCAGGTTCCCAGGTGAGAATCCCAACTATGCTAACCTGGCCCTTGCCTTCCTACGCAGCTCCGCTCAATTCTAGTTTCCCTTCACTGCTCCGTCTGGGACTTCTCTCATTGAGATGGATTTCGTTGGCAGATTTTTAGCCGGGCCAATCAGAGAACAGAACGTCAATTTTCTGCACAGTGTCTGCTTGTAGTTTATTTTACCTGGGCCAATCAGAGAACAGAAGGAGGAGTTTTGAACGACGTCGACTTTCTGTGCAGTGTCTGTTAGTTATTTTAGCATACGGTAGTGGAGGAAGTGAATGAAGCCAGTCCATGTTGATAAGGCTTCCAAATTAAATAAAATTGTCTGACAAAGCAGCAGCTCTCATTTACAGTCGTCTTGTTCGGCTCGGTATATTTCTCCTCTCAGTAGGGTTGTTTACAGCACACGCAATTTCCGGTTAGCTTCTTAGCTTAGCCTCCGTCACAGCAACATACGTCGCAGCCAACTGATCCAATCATTTTAAACTTCAGCAGAGGCCACGCCTCCTGCAAGAAATAAATTCTCTATGCATCAAGTCCAGACCCTTGTACGAAGCAAAGTGAAGGACAGTCTGGTTTGAACCAGGCTACAACTATGCATGAGGATGGTAGAATGTTTTTGGAGGAGGAAAACTGATGGTATAATGCATCAGGTTTGATGTTGCAGAACCCAGGACAAAAAGTAATGGTAAAGCTGAAACAGGCAAAGAACAAGGACCAACAGGTGGGCCGGATTTTTATGTTCTGTCTACACAATGAAAGGTTGATTTCATTCCTTGAGTGAGTGTCTCTAACCCCAGCAAGGCCAGCTTGATGGCAAGTCGTAGTTCCTCTCAGCAAAGGTACAATGTCTGAAACAGAATACACAGTGTGCAGTTTACCATCTGGATCTGTTCACTGCAACAAGATTACTCCAACTTCAGTGTTGGATGTACCCACTTGAACCAAAAACTGTTCAGGATGGATAAGAACTGCCTCTCCTCTCTGAGAGCCACAAGTCCAATGCTCCCTGGCAAAACACATCACTTCACAGCCTCCATGTGTCAAAAGGTTTACATGTCTGCCACTCTCCTCTCAGCCTACCAGACAGAGCTTTTGTGTCTCTTTTCAGGTAAAGGCACCCTGAGTCCAACAGTTTGTGAGGAGGTCTGCATCATGATAGACCTCATCATCCAGGTCTGCAGGGGCACTGTGCAGGGCTATTGCTGCATCAGGAGATCAGCAGTGGCTTGGGTCTTGGAAGCCCCCTCAGGGATGCATTCTGAGCCCATTTAGTGCACAGACTTGGCTGTGAAATGATTCTGTGGCTGGTTCTATTATCAACCAGAAATTAAATTGCATGTTCAAAAGGAAAAAAAAAGGAAAAAAATTGTATAGGTCTTCTGGACGGGTTTTTCTCTAATGAAACGTTTCGTCTCTCTTCCAAGAGACTTCTTCATTCTGAGAGTTTCAGGCAAAATTCAGGCTTTTGAGTCCTGCCTCCAGGTGACTGATGCAACAGGACTCAAATATAACACAAATATTATAATTTTGTGTGGTTGTTCACATTAAAATTTTAATGCAGCTGCCATCAGACAGTGTGAACAGTCTATGGCCTTAAGTCACCCACATGTACAGAAAAAGTAGAGCATGGGCTCACTGCTGTGTTTAGAGACTTGAATATGGAGGCTTAACATTAGCATGTGTGTTTAAATTTTGGGCTGGCTACTTTGGAACAGAATTATGACGTTTGTGACATGAAAGTATTCTGACTCTGACTTTAATGTCAATTTATTTATTTAGTGAATAAAAACAACAGAAGTTAATCATAGTTCTAAACAATTCAGCCAAATGAACAAATTAA